TCATTTTTCTTAAATTTTTCTTTAGTCATTGTAAATTACAGAGTTTTTCATAAATGAGTTCTAGATACAGAATGGTCCAACATCCCCATCACCACTACACCCATGTCCACTTCCTTCCACCAGAGTCCCCAGATTCCCTCCCAGCTACCAATCTGTTTTAATGATGGGCACTTTTTAAAAAAATTTCAGGCACTGAGGTTTACAGTACTGTTACTGATAGGGTTCCTTTTCTTTCTTTCTTTCTTTCTTTCTTTCTTTCTTTCTTTCTTTCTTTCTTTCTTCCTTTTTACTGATAGGATTTCATGCATAAAATTTTACCACCTTTCAGCCCCCAACAGTCCTCCATGTGACTTTTTGCTCTACCATCATCAAAGAGTTCTCTGGAAAGTCATTTCACCAAGCATTTGATATTTGGCGCCACTGGGAGAAGGGAAGATAGAGCTGTTTTACCAAAAAGAGACTGATGCTGGTGACTACATACTTAGGTCTGAGGCCGCCATGAAAGAATAACATACAATGGATGCCATACATAGAAGAAACACGAGATCGGGGTACTTGAGCTTGAGGTATTCCTCTGAACACGAAAGATCCTGCAGAGGCCTCTGGCAGTGACATAGTACAAAAAATGGGAAAAGAAGGAAGGAGAGCAGTAGGGCAGGTACAGGGGGTTGGGCATTTGCCTTGCAAAGAAGTTGACCCCACTATTAACCCCAGTCATGCTAGAACCTCCAGGTGTGGTCCAAAACAAAAAAAAAAAAAAAAGGAAAGAAGACGGAAAGGCAGGAAGGAGGGAAGGAGAGAGGAAGAGAGGGAGGGAGGAAGGGAGGGAGGGATGAAGGAAGGAAGGAAGAAAGGAAGGAAGGAAGGAAGGAAGGAAGGAAGGAAGGAAGGAAGGAAAGAAGGAAGGAAGGAAGGAAAAGGCTACATACCTTGAAGAAGAAAAACTATTGAAGAAAGACTATTCATATGCACTCTTCAGTTGGCCCTAAATATATCTAAGGCAGGGGCCAGAGAGATCATTGTATAGAGGTTAAGGCACTTTGCCCTGCATGCAGCTAACCTTGGTTCAATCCTTGGCACCCATATAGTCCACTACGTATGGTCCCAGACACCCCTCTGCCTCCCGTGCTGCCTCCTACAAAACCACAGATATCTGGGGTAGATATGCCTAAGGTTTTCCTATTAAGTAACTGCAGCATATGACTTTATCTCACCTAGCATGTAGAAAATGCAGATGATGTGTTTTTCAGGTGCAAAATAAAACATAACACTTAATATTTGTGCTTTTAATCCTATTCACTGATAAGGCCAGGTGAAAATTTTCTTGGTGAATAATTTAAAGCAAATCCTAATGCATTAGTTGTTAAATCCAGAATTAGGTAAGGTGTGGTAGAAGTAAACAGTTATCCTAATGAAAGTCTATTTTTTAAATCTAAGAACTATTATAAAATTACAATTCTCTATTTTGATTTATAGCTACTACCTGAAGTCACTGCAGCTAGTTTAAGGAGAAAGATGAGCACTGTTGGTATAAAACTGGTGTGAAGGAGGCCAAGAAATAGCTCAATGGGCCTACAACTAAAAACACTTGCAGGACACCCAAGTTTGTTCTCCAGCACTATGTGGTCTTCTGAGCATGGCCCAGAGTGACACCAAGACCAGACCCAGTAGTCCTGGAGCACTGCTGGGTCTGATCTTAAAAGGGGTATGACCTTCAAAGCTAAAAGCTAAACAAAACAGTGGAAACTGATATAAAAGAAACATATCATGAAGACAAACAGACATACACACACACGGTAGGATGGAGTTGAAATTTCATTGAATAGAAATCTGGAGAAAGCATCTTATGTGAAGTTGTATGGATTTGGATAATATATTTCTTTTCTGTGTATCAGCTGCTAAAATGTTAAATGCTAAAAATGCTTAAAGCAATACAAAACACACTGTCTAGCATTGCCTTTTCAGCAGGTATGAGAGGTGGTGGGACTAGTAACTAAAGTAGAAAAAGAGAATATTGTGCAAATTGTCTGCCACAGAGGCAGGGGGAGGTGTGGAATAGGTGGGAGATACTGGGGATTTGGTGGTGGAAAACGTGAAGGGGATGGGTGTTTGATGACTGTATGATCGAAGCTCAAAAATGAAAACTTTGTTATTGTACCTCGGGGGAAATCAATAAAAAAAAGGAAAAAAAAGTGTATTACTTAGTAACAATAGAAAAAAGAGATGGAATGGTTTAATATAATTAGGAATCAACTTTAGCCCCTTTTTTTGCCTATGTTTGAACTTAGATGCATCATAGAAACTCACCTTAAACTTCAATATTCTTTTTTTTTTTTTTTTTTGCTTTCTGGACCACACCTGGCGACACACAGGGTTTACTCCTGGCTCTATACTCAGGAATTACTCCTGGCAGTGCTCAGGGACCATATGAGATGCTAGGGATTGAACTCGGGTCAGCTGCGTGCAAGGCAAATGCCCTACATGCTGTAGCTCCAAACTTTAATATTCTTACCAGAAAATCAAAGGATTGAACAAAGTTGTATCTGAAATTGTATTAATGTGCACTTGAGTATACTATAAAACATCTACCATCAAATCCAAAGCAAAACTGAAACACTGGAATAATTGGAATAAAGAAACAAATTTTTCAATGTTTCAGCAACCATTCATAGTGTACCTGTTGTAGACTCATGCAAATTGTTTCTGTGAGTTTAGAAGGCTGGATATTTAAGAGGGAGAATAACAAAGATGAAAAGAAGAAAGATAAAGTATGAGTTTCACTAGCTTTCAACTGCCATGCAAATCATTGACCCAAATGTTACTGTATATCACTTCCTATTCACTATCCATCTGGCAAAATTAAAAAAGCCAATAGCCATATGTCCATTATATCAATAAAAAATTGAACATCTAATTTTGATAACATCATACAATCTAAATCAGAAAAATCCTATTTTAAAGATAGTATGAACACTAGTAGTAATTAATTAGTATTACCTAGTTTGGTTCAAAGAAAGAAAAATAACCCATTCTTCATTTGAAATATGGTATTGCCTAAACCTCACATTCTAATTCAGATAAATTTTCTGTATCACCTTAAATATATTGATGTCTCCTCTTGATGGATTCATTTATAGAGAAGAGTCTAATATTAATGCCTCAAAGAACCGAAATGAACTTACTATTGAAAACTATAAGGAATATTACTGAATAGCACTGCAAAATGAGAAACTCTTCTCTTTGAAATTACTCCATGTAAAGCTCCCTTGATCTCTTTGGCATGTTTTCATGTGACCCAAATATTTATCTATTTATCTGCTTGTGGGAAACAGAATAATTCCCTCTGCCCCAATCCCAAGAATAATGAATTTACTGCCTCCCTAGTCAAAAGGGATCCTACAGACGTGATTAAGTTAAGGATTTTCAGATGCAAAGATCATCCTGGATTACCCAGGGTCACTCAATGTAATCACAAGTATCCTTATAAGGAAATGGAAAGTTAGGGAGTCAAGGAAGGAGGCATTATGAGGCCAGTGGAGGCTGAGAAAAGCTGATGCTGAGAGGATTCTTGAGCAAAGAAACATAGACAACCTCTAGAATGGAAAAGGGAAGGAAAAGGTCTTTCTACTTGATTCCAAAGACACTAGAAAAAAATGAGGCCCTGCATAAATATTGAGAGGAGCCCCATAAGACTCACTCCCAGGCATCTTCTCTTTATATACATTTGTAAAAGTTGACCTAAACAGCAATTTAAAAAATGCATACACTGCTTTATGACCCCAATCTGCCTGTGAATAACACAATCCTAGACCCCTCTTTGAGTTTCTTCCTTCCTACTAACTCTTGAGGAGCCCCTTGTAGGATGACTCTTCTCATTGTCCACGGCACAACTGTTTCTTCAGCACCACCCACCTCATTTACCCACACGGTTCCCTATATTGTCATTGCTCTGCCCTTTGTGTGTCCATAGTCTGGATGTCCGTTACTGCCCATCAGGCTCTGCAGCATGGGGTGCCTCTAAGAGTTTGCTTCTGCTACCACTATCTCTAGAAGGGTTTTTGAACTGCTACAAACCCATGCCCCAGGCCCCTGACACACACCCATTGCCATGGCTCTGAGTGTTTCCCAGAATATATTACAGTATTCATCAATAATTAGACTGGTAGGCAGTAGGAGGGGATGAGGGGGGATTGTTGAAGAGATCCTGGAAAGGCGACTGCAAATTGTCCTATAAACCACACTTGAACAATTAGAGTGTCTCCAGCCCTGTCCTATACTTGAAAGGCAAGTTCTGCCAGCTCTTTCCACAACAGGAGTCATTTTCCAGTATGCCACAACTTTGAGGGAGTCCTGTAATTCTGAGACCATTTGGATTATGTCTAGAGTTCTGTTAACTCTATAAATGCAAGATTCCAGTGGGCAGGTTGAGAGGTGGCCTGCCCCATAGCTGCCTAACACAAAGCTCTGATATAATTTCCCTTAATTATTAAAACCTCAGTCTACCCATCTGGGGGGTAGGGAGGGGGCTTGCCTTTTCCTTTGGTCTCTCCTTCCCTTCCCCCACCCTCCTTTCTATAAAGGTTCCTTTTGATTTCACCTGGAAAGTCTGGAATTTGCAATCCTACAAGAGAAGAAAGAAAGCAAAAATTTAAAGAATGGAGATAAACTTGTAACTAGTTATTAAGATTGGAAACTCTAATATAGCTATTCCATGTCCATCGTACTGGCTTCCCTCCCAGTATGGCCTTGCTTTCCACCTAACTCACAGCCTGCACCTCACTGGCAGAATTCAGCTTTTCCATCATCTTTAAATGTTCTCCTGAATATAGACTCTGCCTCTCATTCTAGTTCAATGAAAGGAAAGCATTTCTTGTCCAACTCTGTCTAGGACTCTCGCCTAAACTTTCAATTGTTTTAAGATCTAGTTCCCTCCAGGATTGACTGGCTGGGTAATTTTCACACCGTTCCAGGGAAGTCTCCCTATTTAATAATAGGGGAGATCATCAGGTAGGATAATCCTTACCTGTTCCTCTATGCAGAGGGCAGATAGAACATGATGATTTGAGTTGACATGATTTGTGATTAACGTCTCTGCGTGATTAAGGCTTGCATAGCCCTAATTGCTCCTATCTGATTCGTCATGAAAAAATAAGCAAATAAATAAATAAATAAGCAAATAATAGAGGAGCATATCTTCCAAACAGAAAAATTACATTATAATAGTCAATGTGTGAAAAATGACTAATATATGTACATATATTTAAAGAAAATATTTAAAAGACACCTTAATCTAAAGACAAAACTCACCTATTTTTTTTTTGGTTTCGGGCCACACCCAGCGGTGCTCAGGGTTCACTCCTGGTGGGCTTGGGGGACCAGGTGGCCATATGTCAGTGATTAAATCCAGCTGGATAAGTGCAAGGCAAGCACTTTACCTGCTGTACTGCAACTCCAGTCCCACAACTCCCCTATAGCACAGCTGCAGGGTGTTTGCCTTGCGTGCGGCCAGCCCAGCTGAGCTGGGTTCGATTCCCCTGCCCTTCTCAGAGAGAGCCTGGCAAGCTAATGAGAGAGTATCTTGCCCCCGTGGCAAAGCCTGGCAAGCTACCTGTAACGTATTCAATATGCCAAACACAGTAACAACAAGTCTCAAACTGGAGATGTTACTGGGCCTGCTTGAGAAAATCAATGAACAACAGGAGGACAGTGTTTGTGTTTGTTTGTGTTTAGGTTCCAAGTAACTTAATAATAACTAACATATCATATGCAACAGGGCTGGAGCAATAGCACAGCGGGTAGGGCGTCTGCCTTGCACGCAGCCAACATGGCCGACCCGAGTTCGATTCCTCCGCCCCTCTCGGAGAGCCCGGCAAGCTATCGAGAGTATTCGATATGCCAGACACAGTAACAACAAAGACTCCAATGGAGACATTACTGGGCCCGCTCAAGCAAATCGACGATCAACGGGAGGGCCTTTACCTTTACCTTTACCATATGCAACAATGATAGTATATTAAAACTGAGTTTCTTTAAGCAGACTCCAGTCATGGTTTATTAAATGTATCTATTTGTTATAGTCTTTGTGCTATATTTACAGAAGTTAGTCTTCCATTTGGAAAGATAATTTGGGTCTATAACTGTCATAAAACAAAATCCATTTATTGAAAATGCTCAATTTGATAACTTTGGACATATGCATATACTCATAAACAATAACCATGATTAAAATAATAACTACAAATACGTTACTCCAAAAACTTTTCTGGAGCTCCTCCATGACTTCTGTCTTCTCCTGAAGCTCCTTCTTTCTGCCCCACATCCCTGATTCTCTCTTCATGCAACTCCTATTTCTCATGGGAGTGGGAGGAGAGGAGGGAATCACTAACTCAAGATTTCACACATGTGAGGCATGTGCTCTACTGCTGAGTCATATCCTGAGTCCCACATCCACTGCTCTTACTAAGTTATATAAGTGTACATATAAACACAAAAAAACAAACACACAGTAAAAGAACGAACCCTTTGTGCCTGAATGCAGGCTGACCAAGAGAGAAGAGAAATGGAAAAGAGAGGTGAATCTATTCTGTTTTCTAATACCCATGCCCAGCGTAAGAGAAATGTGTCCCCATAAATGTCAAGCTTACAATGATGTTACAAGTCCATGAGTAAGTCTTCTCTCCATCACCCCCCCCCCCCCCCCCCCGTTCCCCAGGATTGAGAGAAAGAAAAGCTGGAGAAAGAATCCAAAGGAAATCAATATTGTCCATCCTGGGAAGCAGAACTTTGTCCTCTGCATTCTACAGCTGGACAGCTGGAGCTGGTTCTCACACTTTGGTCATAAAGCCAATGCTATGCTGTTTGTATCATATACTGCGCTGAAGTTATAATGGAGAAATGTAGAATAGGAAAAAGACAAAGAATAAAGGTAGGGTAGTGGAGAGGGTATTTGTCATCACCAAGATATAAGTACACATTCGTTAAATATTTAAAATAGCCACAAACACATTTTTTCTAGTTTCATGGAGTGATTTCTCACTTAGTTTTGGCTTGATTTGTTTTGGGGATTAAACTCATAAGCACTTCAATAGATGTCATACAAAATTCACCCAATTAGAAGGTTTCTCCTTGAAACACTTTTCTTGATATTCTGGACAGAGAGATTTTCTTAGAAAACATATCCATTAAGCTCAGATGACTCAAGAAAATATTTTTTTCTTCTAGAAAATACTAACATAGAAAAAAAGTGCTGAGTGATGGTTGTGTTCTGTGATGTATTTCCAGTGCCAGAGAGAGAACTAGCATTTAACAGGCACTCAGATCCTTTCATTAGATATGCCTTTGGTTACTTCTAACTCCCAAGGATATTTTCTCCCCAATTCTAGAGGAATTAACTACTAACTTGAATAATCTCCCTTTGTTTTTAATTCTGTCTTGACTTCCAGCTTTGTCATGTATAGACTTCTGGTGTACAAACAGTCTTAACAACATGATCCTTCTCATTTTACAAAGCCTGAGAGGAGGTTGTATGACAGATGTGGGTTTGCAGCAAATCTCTGGATTTCTTCATTAAAAGCTGTTAAATGGAAGTAGTAATAATATTTTTCTTGTGTGGGTGTGATGATGACCAAGAAAGATAATTCATATTAGGAATTTGGCAATGCCTGCCACCCAGCAAACAAAATAGAGGTGCTATTATTTTTCCTTAAACAAATATTCTCATATGCATTGAAGTCTTTGTTTTGTGTTGTTCTTAGATTGAAAGTATTTGGTGGCAGAAAACAGGTTAACTATTCCTGGAGAGGACTGAAGGTCAGAGTACAGGATGATAGGGGGGAAATCAGGGATGTATAAATTTACTTTCATTGGCTCTTAACACAAGACTTAGGGGAGACATGTGTTCTGTCGGCTTTTTGGAAAGCAAGGATTATGAATTCCCCATGATACAACCCCAGCAACTTGCCACATGGCTTGACACATAGAAGGCACTCACTTAATAATTGCATAAGTCGTTAATAAAGAAATGGGTCTTGACATAAAAATCTTGGCGCCGAGCTTCTGTTCCCAGAGAGCGCGCTCCTGCTGGCAGAAAATTTCTGCTTCCCAAGTACAGAAGATGTTTCGCGGTCCGAGACAGAGAGCTTGTAAAGGTTGGAATGTGCCCATCTTTGGCAAACTGCGGCTCCCCTTCTGCTGCCCGAATCTCTTTGGTGTGCTCAACTTTCAAGGCAAAGGACTGTCCCGCCCCTGCGGGTCCACGTTTCCCAAACACGCTAATTCTTCCTCTCTCCGATTCTCTTAAGGTCTCCGTTGCCTTCCCGCTGCTGCCTGCTGGCATCCGGGACTGTCGTGTTTTCCTCTAGACAGTTCATGTGTCGACCCCCCACGAAGGCTTGACCACCGTTTCTGACCACAGATCACCAGCAGGAAAATCGGTCGGAGGTTCCTTTTCCCCAAATCTCTGGAGGGGACACAACTTCACTGCTCTGACTCCAGAGTCTTCTCGGTCCAGGGCACACCCGCGGCTGGGCTCTGCTCCCTCTCGGCTCCATCCCCCTGGCCCACCTCCTACCCCCGCAGCCCCTTTTGCACAAACTCGCCAGACTCCTGGGTCTTGGAGAATCAGCTCTACACTCCTAGAACCGTTGCAGGGTCACTTCGTTGACTCCGGGCCCCTCACCCTCAGAGGTTACGCAGCCTGGAAGGAAGTGTCGCCCAATCGATTCTGTGCGGATAATCTGCTCCTGGTCTCCTCCTCCCAATCCCCCACCCCCGCCCCCACGCACCCTAACTGCGCTCATTAGGCCAAGACTCTCCCTGAATGGGCTTCTACAAGTCGACAATTAACCGGTGCACCACCCCCCCACCCCCGCCCTTGCGGGTAATGTGTTGTGGTGTTTGTGTTTGTTGGCGGTGTGTGTCCATCCGCGCTGGTGCTAAATCTCCAACGTCACAGTTTGCCATCCCGACCAGCGCGCCCAGAACCCCGAGCTCTTTCCAGGGATTCCCCCGACACGCCGGCTCTCCTCTTCTGCACCCACCCAGAAGGTAGGTCTGGGGCTCTCTCAATTCGTTCCCTCTCTTGGGGGCTGTTGCAGCCCCGGTGATTAAAAAAAATCTGCTGAGATCCCCGATCCCTTCCCCCAGCCCCCAACCCCCGGGGCTGGTCCTCTTCCCTGCAGTGCTCTGGACGAACAGTCCCGAGCGCCGGGTTTTCTCGCGTCTCGGCGCCTCGACCTTCCAAGTGCCGGAGCGGGTGCAAGTCCTAGTCCGATTGCCGCGAGAGGCGCGCGGTTCCGTGGGTCCCCGCCGGGCCTGGGTGGCGGCCGGTGTCCCCCGCCACCCCCACCGTCCCCCCCGGGCCCGGAAGAGCCGCTCGCGGGCCGTGCGCGCGCGCGCGCGCGGCTTCGGTGGGGAAATTTTCAGTGCAAGCTGCAGAGTGTCGCCGGCAGAGTATTCTAGAGCCCGGGAATAGCTTCCCAAGCACTGGAGCTTCCCGAAAGACAAACAGCATTAAAAACAAAATAGAAACAAACCGAAAAATAAAGCAATCAAACTGAGTAGCAGTGAAGCCCGTTCTCCCGAGGCCTGGGGGCTCCCTAGAGTCTTGGAACCTCCGGGTGCTGGGTAAAGGGGGCAGCGGTCACCGCTCCACCCGGTACTTGCAAGGGCGTTTTGATTTTTAATTTTTTTTTTGTTTTTTATTTTTTTCTTTCTCCTCCCTGCTCTTGGGTAGGAGGGAGGCAAGGGACTTGCAGGCGAGTTGCACCTGCTCTAGGACCCCGCAGAGAGCAGTGAGGTAAGTAGGGTTGGGGCACTGGAGCGAAAAGGGGGGAAGAGGAGGGGTGCAGGAGAGGGACAAGAGGGATAGGGCAGGGAATGAATTATGCAAAAAAAAAAAAAAATCCCCACTATTCCGCAGCGGAGGGAAAGCGCTCGACCGCGTTCGCAGGATGAGTCCCGCCTGGGTCTCCCGCGCCGCACCGGCCGGCGCGAAGTTCTTTTTTAAGAAGAAGAGAAACTCCCCCACATCCGGGGAGGGTGACCCCCGCGGCAGCCGGGACGAGGGTCTGGAGCGCCGAGCCCTGGGCGCTCGGGTGCTCCTTCTGGCCAGGCTCAGCCTCGCCTTCCCGCGCCC